GAGATATGGGTCTTGTTTTGTTTTTCTGAAAATAGATTTAGAATTTTGCCTGCACCATTTGTTGAAGAGACTATCTCTCCCCTCATTTTGTTCCTTTGTTGAAGATCAATTGACTGTAGGTGGATGGATTTACTTCTGGATTTTCAAATCTGTTCCATTGATCTATCTGTGTTTCATTGTACCAGTACCAGGAAGTTTTGACTACTGTGGCTGTGTAGTTAGTTTGGGCAATGATAAGTGAGAAACCTTCTACCTTGTTCTTCTTTTTTAATAGTGCTTTTCTTATCTGGGATCTCTTTCCTTTCCATATGAAGTTGGTTATCAGTTTTTCTCTTTAAAGAATGATGTTGGAATCTGGATAGGGATAGCATTGAATCTATAGATTGCTTGGGAAGTGTTGACATATTCACAATGTTAAGTCTTCCTGTCCATGAGAAGGGTATATTCCTCCATTTCTGCTGGTCTTTTTTGGTTTCTTGTAGCAGTATTTTGTAATTTTCTTTGTATAAATCTTTTGTTTCTCTGGTTAGATTTATTCTCACGTATTTAATCTTTTGGGTGGCTATTGTAAATGATATTGTTTTTCTAATTTTCTTTTCAGAGCTCTCTTTATTAGTGTAAAAGAATCCAACTGATTTTGTGTGTTCATCTTGTACCCTGCCACTTTGGAAAATTAATCAATTAGTTCCAATAATTTTCTTGTAGAGTGTCTGGAATTTTCTAAGTATAGGGCCATATTGTCTGCAAATAGAGACAGTATGAGTTCTTTGCCAATTTATATGCCTTTATCTTTTTCCTGCTGTTATTGTTAAGTACTGTTGAGTTGGTTCCGACTCACAACAACCCTGTATAGGTTTCCGAGGATCAGCTGATGGGTTTGAACCGCCCACCTTGTGGTTTGCAGTCCAGTGCTTATCCTACAGCACCACACCAGGACTCTTGCCTTTTAGCTCTGGCTAAGACTTCCAGCACAATATTGAATAGGAGTGGTGATAAAGGGCATCCTTGTCTGGTTTCTGTTCACAAGGGTAATGACTTCAGTTTTTCACTGTTGAGAATGATGTTGGCTGTTGGTTTTGTATGCTGTTGTTGTTGTTACGTGCCATCAAGTCAGTTCCAAATCACAGCAACACTGTATAGGGTTTCCAAGGAGTGGCTAGTGGGCTAGAACTGAACCTTTGGGTTAGTGGCCCAGTGCTTATCCTACAGTGCCACACCAAATTTTGTATATATGCCCTTAATTCTGTTGACGAATTTCCCTTCTATTCTTATTTTGTTGAGTTTTTGTTGTTGTTGTTTTAAATCAGGAATGCATGTTGGATTTTGTCAAATGCCTTTTTCTGCATCAAATGATATGATCTTATGATTTTTCCCCCCTTTGTTTTATTTATGTGGTGGATTATGTTGACTGTTTTTCTAATATTGAACCAAGTAGAGTTGTGAGTGCTATGTTTCTTAGTACACATTTAAGAAAATGATCTCTTAATTTTTGGATGTTGCAAATATTCATCATCTCTTAAAACCCTCCATGTGCTCTTCAAATCAGTGAAATTTGAGATTTTCTGTGTCACTAAAATAAGGTGTGGAAATAGTAAATGCGATGAAAATATGATATTCCTAGTGACACTGGACTGGAAGCCACCATTTGGATTGGGTTTAGAAGAATGGGGAAATAGAGATGCTTCTTGGCCTGAGTCCATTAACAGTAAAGGTGTAGAACAGAGAGTGACACCATGAGAATGCTGGCTGTACATGGCAGGGGTCCTCCATTTCCCTTGGTGGTGACATTAGGTGAATTTGTGGCAGCCGTGAATTGGGAGGAGTTACTTAGAAGTTCTGTAGGAGTTGTTTGATTTGAATAAATCTGAGGGGGGAGGAGCAGTGCCAGGAGCAGCACCCCCAGCCCAAGCCTAATCACTCTGTCCACATCTGCTCCATCAGTGCGAAACGTGGCTCTCAGGGTGCTGGAAGTGCAGAAGATAGCTGCTAGGGACGGGTGTAGCAAGGTGGGGAAGGAATTTTTTTGTTTCATTTTTTTATTTGGTCTATCACCGCAGCTTTTAAGCAGGGTGTTGTTCAATTTCCAAGCATTTGATTTTTTCCTTGCTTTTCCTACTGTTGATTTCTAACTTTATAGTATTATGCTCTGAAAAGATGCTTTGTCGTCTTTTGATGTTTTTAAATTCATTGAGGTTTGCTTTGTGGCCTAACATATGGTCTATTCTGGACAATGCTCCATGAAAAGAATGTATGTTGTTGGGCTGAGTCAGAGCTTAGTCTTATTGGTTCTCATTTGTAGGTAACTTTTTGTTTTTCTCAAGCTGCTCCCAGGATTCTTGTCTTTGGTTTTAAAAGTTTGATTACGATATGTCTTGGTGGTTTTCTTTTGGAAATCTATCGTGTTTGGGGTCCATTCAACTTTTGTATGCGTATCTTCTCATCTTTCGTGATGTTAGGGAAGTTTTCTTCCAACAACACTTTCACATTTTTCTCTGTGCTTTTTAATGTTTCTTCCTATTCTGGAATTCTGATTACATGTAAGTTATTCCTCTTCATGGTGTCCCACATAATTCTTTGGATTTTTTTTTCCCTCTGATTGTTCTTCTAGTATACTAGTATTGAGAAATTTATCTTCAAACTCACAATTTGGGCCTCCATTGCTTCAAATCTACTCCTTTGTCCTTTCAATATATTGTCCATTTTTTAATTCTTTGTGTTAATCTTCTGGATTTCTAACTGCAGGTTTTGTATTGCTACAAAATTTGCATTTGTCTGTTTGTTCTTACAGTGTTTTCCTCAATTCTTTTTTCTGTGTTTTCCTTGCTTTCCTTGATTTTTCTGTTGATCCTTTGGAAGTACATAAATATCATTCTTTTGAATTCTTTCTCAGTTAGTTCCATTACCTTTTCTTCCTCAGAAACATTTTCTGGCTCTGCATCTCAGTCATTTGTTTGAGCCATTCTCTCTTGTTTCTTAGTGTGAGCTAAAATTGTCTGTTATCTTTGGGACATTGTGGTGGTGGTGTATTTGTATTTAATCTGTGATTGTTATGTTGATGTGTTCTTAGGCTGTCACCAACGGTCTCCTGTGGGTAAAGTTGGATAATGGAAGCATGTGTACCATTTTCTGTTCACCATTTGTACACCTCAGTTTACATGGGTTTGGCTGGTGTTGACAAATGTTTATCAATGATCAGGTAAGCGGTAGAGGAGGTGGTATTGGCTGTTGCCCAGTGGGTAGAGCTGTAGAAGGTACAGTTGTGACTGGGCCATATAGGCATGGTTGCTTTCTCTTGTCAGATAAGAAAGAGGAGAATCCCTACATACACACACAACAAAATAAATAAGCAACCAACAATGAAAAGAAAAAATAATAAAGGAGAGAGAGAGTGAAGAAAAAGTTGTAAACAGGAAAAAAAAAAAAATAATGAGAGAGAAAAATATTGCTTTCCTGTTGTTGCTTCTGTGAATTTGGCAACTTTCTGTCACCAAAGTTACTCACAAAAGTTCTAGATAAGTTGCACCTGGTCAGTCTCCCTGCTCAGCTTCTTCTCCCAGCATGCACTCAGTCACTTCTCTATCCTTTCCTCTGAAATTCAGGGTTCCAGGATTTTCCTATGTCTGTTTCATTTAGTCTCTCATATCTTTGCTGAATAAGGTCTGGGTAGTGCATCTGCCTAGAACCTTTTAAAAATATGTTTGTTGCAAAGACTATAGGAGTTAATATAGTAGTAAAATGCTTACAACAGTGCTTAATCAGAAGCCACTTAACAAGGCCAACTGGTTTGGCTTGGGCACACTATAGCTAGAAGCAGCCTGTCTCCTTCCCACCCACAGACATGATTCCATTGGCAGACCCACTTTTCTCTTAAGGTCCAAGTCACATGACAATGGAGTATTCAGGAATTGGGCATCAGCTTCCAAACCCTTCCAAAGTCAGGGAGTGTATATGCAGGGACTTACTACAGGACGCTCAACTGCAAAGTAAAATTGCTACTCCTCCTCCCCATTTACAGAGAGGGAAATCAAAACTCAAAAATAGATGGGACTTCTTGATAAAATAAACATTCTATGATGGTTACCAGGGGTGGGAGGGAAAGGGAAATTATTCATGGGCTGCAGGGTAGACACATGTTAACACGGGTGATGGGAAGGAAATACACAAGATGGATGTTAGCACAGGAGAGATGAAAGTAGCAGAAAACACAGGGAGACATGCAAGAATTAAAGCAAGTGGAGGTAAATGCTGTTAAATGATGGTACATGGAAGGGATTTCAATCATTGTAATGAAGCAAAGTATATGATTTATTGAATGTGGAACTGATGATCTGCTCTGTAAATCTTCACTCAATTCACAATTAAAAAGTTGTTTTCTTTTTTTAAAAAAGAGACTAAAAATAAAATAAAATAAGAAAGAAACTGAATGGGACTAGATCCCATCAGAGGCCCAGATCAATTAGAAAACTGCTCCCCAACCCCAATTTGGACTTTAATTGCTGAGCCTCGGCCATCTAAGCCCATGAGGTAGCCTTAGTATTTATCCTGTCTGTCCTATTCCAAGTTGAATGACTTTGGACAAGTCGTGTGTAAACATTCTGAATATGATTCCATTTACTTCATAGATATTGTCCAGTAACATAATATGTGTCATTCATTATTGACCACATTTTGCAGGCGAGTAAACAGAAGGTACTTGTTGCACAGGTCACAGAACTGGTACAGTTGCGTTAAATGGTATATCTTTTGTAATGCAACCTTCACAATCCCAAATATGCGGGTGATCAGTCCTACTACTACTTTCTTGTCGGAAAATGAGTGGCCACACAGGTCTTCAGATGCCCTTTGGGCCCACAGCCATCCAGCCTGCCGACCATTCCATCACATGAGCTGCACTATCTTTAGCTAGGGAGATATTTATATCCCCTAGGGAAGTATTTTCTCTGTGGGGGAGCCCAAGAATCTGCAGCCAGTGACTCTGGGCCCACCACGGAGGCCTCACCATGTCTCCAGACTCAGTGGCTCCTGTACAGGTCTGGGTGGGTGGCCAGCTCTTCCAGGCCGACCGAGGCCTGCTGGTGAAGCACTGCGGATTCTTCCGCGGCCTCTTCCGCTCTGGCATGCGAGAAGCGCGGGAGGCCGAGGTGCATCTTGGCGCGCTGAGCGCGGGCGGCTTCAACACCACGCTGCGGGTTCTGCGCGGCGAGCGGCCGGCGCTGGTGGATGCAGAAGAGCTGCTGCAAGCTGTGGAATGCGCTGCCTTCCTGCAGGCTCCAATGCTAGCACACTTCCTGGAGTACTGCCTCACAACTGAAAACTGCGCGTTGCTATGCGACGCGGCCGCTGCCTTCGGCCTGCATGAAGTGTTCCACAGCGCCGCGCTGTTCATCCGCGACGGCACGCGCGAGCTGGCGGCTGAGCTGGTGCTTCCCGAAGCCCGCGCCTACGTGGCGGCGCTACGACCCAGCAGATACGTGGCCCTGAGCACCCACACACCCGCACCCGGCTTCCTGGAGGATGCGTCGCGCACGATGTGCTACCTGGACGAGGAGGAGAACACGTGGCGCACGCTAGCCACGTTGCCCCTGGAGGCGAGCACGCTGCTAGCCGGCGTGGCCACGCTGGGCAACAAGCTCTACATCGTGGGAGGCGTGCGTGGCGCCAACAAGGAGGTGGTAGAATTGGGCTTCTGTTACGACCCGGACGGCGGCACGTGGTGCGAGTTCCCCAGCCCGCACCAGCCGCGCTATGACGTGGCTTTGGCTGGCTTCGACGGCCGCCTCTATGCCATAGGCGGCGAATTCCAGAGAACACCCATGAGTTCCGTGGAGCTCTACGACCCTACCGCGGGCTGCTGGAGCTTCGTGGCCCACTTGCCGCAGCCAGCCGCCGGCGTGCCCTGCGCCCAGGCATGTGGCCGTCTCTTCGTGTGCCTCTGGCGACCGGCTGACACCACAGCCGTGATGGAGTATGTGACTCAGGACGATGCCTGGCTGCCGGTGGCCGAGCTACGGCGCCCGCAGAGCTACGGCCACTGCATGGTGGCCCACCGCGACAGTCTCTATGTGGTGCGAAATGGACCTTCAGACGACTTCCTGCATTGTGCCATCGACTGCCTCAACCTGGTCACAGGCCAGTGGACAGCGCTGCCCGGCCAGTTTGTTAACAGCAAGGGGGCGCTCTTCACTGCTGTTGTGCGTGGCGACACCGTCTATACCGTCAACCGCATGTTCACGCTGCTTTACACCATTGAGGGCGGCACTTGGCGGCTGCTCAGGGAGAAAGCCGGCTTTCCCCGGCCGGGCTCCTTGCAAACCTTTCTTCTGAGGTTACCTGCTGGGCCCCTGGGCCCTGTGGCCTCAGCGACACCGGAACTGTGACACCTGGTCTAGGGTTTAGGATGGGGACAACTCTGAGTCTTTCTTGGGCCATGACTGAGCTGGTGGGGCTAGTCTTCTCAGCTGCTGGACCTTCTCTGTTCCTGATGAGACACCCAGGCCTCAGGCCTTCTGCTGGTGGAGTGAATGTGCCCAGTCATTCCAGGGAATGAGTGCTTGCACTGGGTCTGAGTCCTCAAATGATGTAGGTTCTGCTAAGGCAGGTGGGTCACATTGTCAGTGAAAGTGGTGTGTGGAAGGGTAGGTTTTGTGTAACTGTGCCAGTAATTTGAGGGTGGCAAAGAATAGTTGTGGGCTCCTGGTGTGACTATAGTATCAGTACTGCACTGCGATCCACAAGATCAGCAGTTCAAACCAATCAACTGCTCCTGTAAACTCTACACAGGGTCACTATGAGTTGGAATTGACTCGACTGCACATAACAAGCAGTAGATGTGGTAGTGCGGTGACTCTGTGAGATAAACACTGGAATGGAAACCACAAGGTCTGCATTCCAGCCCACCAGTACTTCCATGAGAGAAAGATCAGGCTTTCTGCAAAGATTTACAGCCTCAGAAACCCCATACAGGGTCGCTGCGGGTTGGAACTAACTCGACATCACTTAGCAGCAACAAAAACAAGAATGGATATGGTGCTGTAGGATGAACAGTGGACTAACCAAAAGGCTGGTGGTTCAAATCTACCAGCCGCTCCTCCAAATATCTACACAGGGTTGCTCTGTGTTGGAATCCATTCGACTGTCCTTAGCAACAGGAAGAGTTAAGTATTGTTAAATTGTCAATCAGTAGTCAAGAATTGTATCTACTGTGTGCCCAACACAGTGTTAGGCCCAATGTGAGCTGTAGATGTCAGACAGGGAACCTGTGGAGCTTCTAGTCTCCCTCAGGAAAAAATGCTCACTCTTAAAGAGAAAAGTTGCAATACAGCAGAAGGTCTACACACATGAGTACATGTCTTGGTCCACAAAAGGTTGAAGGCAATGTGCAAAAAAAACCCCAAACAAACCCTCACAATATAGTAAGTATTAAAGAAACTAGAGCAAAAGAAAAATAGGTAATTCCAGGAAGAAGGACTGCGTAGGTACTGTTTGGGAGAGACTGACAGGAGACAATTAGCTGTGAAAATGGGAGGTTCCATCTGTGGAAAGAGTTCAGAGAAGGAGATAGAGAATGACTGAGCAAGTGGGAATGATCTTTGTGCATTCAGCTTTAAGGCAGAGCAGCAATAGATGGAGCAATGAGGAGCGGACAAGACTGGGCTAGCTAGTAAAAAAACAAATCAAACTCACTGCAACTGAGTCAATTCTGACGTAGAGTGACCCTGTATAGGATTTCCAGGAGTCTTGGTGTGGCACTGCAAGATCATACACTGGACAGCAAGATAGGTTTGAACTGCAGGGTTGGTGGTTTAAACTCAGAAGCTCTGTGCAGGCTCACTATGAGTCGGAATAGACAAGATGGCACTTAGCAGCAATAGGATTTCCAGGGATGTCAATTGGTAGCGTAGTGGTTACGAATCGGGCTGCTAATCTCACAGTCAGCAGTTTGAAACTACCAGCTGTTCCGCAGGAGAACGATGAGGCTTTCTGCTCCTGTAAAGATTTATAGCCTCAGAAACCCTACTATACAGCGTCACTATGAGTCGGAACCGATTCCACGGCACGTAACAACAACAAAAAATCTTGATGGGAATAGAAAGCCTCATAGTTCTTCTGAGGAGTAGCTGATGGATTTGAACTCTTGATCTTTTGGTTAGCAGTCCCGTGCTTATCCTACTTCACCACCAGACAATAAATAGCCTGGAGTGAAGACATGGAGAACCCAGTGGTACGCCCCTTCCCCATCAATCTCCTTTGTTGCCATCACCCGAAGAGCTGTTGTTAAGTGCCATTTGGTCAGTGGACAATTTATCCCTGTCACTTAAGCTCACTCAAGGTTTGAGTCCAGTGCTGGTCAGGTCTCCCTGCCGCCTCTTGTTCGTTTGTGCCTCCTAGCCTCTGCTCCTGCCATTCCCTTGGCCTGGGATGCCTCACTTCTTACTACTCTGTGTGGTCCACCTCTCTGTTCTCACCTTGGCTGCCTGCCTTGCTTGTTGGGCCTCTGGCTATGGCGTCATTCTCTGTGTGTACATGCGTGTGCACGGGCACTTCTGTAGATGGTAAGGGCAAGGCTGCTGTTGTGCTGCTAACTGAGCGGGGCCACTTCTCAGCCTGTAGAGTAAAATGACAGGGTCTTGACAGTACCTAGCCTTGGGGGAGGGGGTGCTGACCTCAGGTGATAGGTGAGGCCTCTGGTCCCCCGTCTAGAATACCTCAGTTTGGGCTTCTGGGCATGTGCCTGCCCCAGCCATGCAGCCTCTCCAGGCACCCAGGTAGACTTCTCTGCGTGGTCTCCATCCTTCAGGGACTACGGTCCATGGGCAGTCCTGGCTTCCTCTAAAGTGGAGATTGCGGTACTGACCAAGCACCTACTGAGCATGGAGACTGGTTTCAGGAGTGCCCCTGGCTGGCTTGACCCCTGGCCCAAGCTCTGGAGAACATTGCCCTCAGAAGCCAGGACTTTTTTAGCTCTGGAGTAGCCTAGTCTGATGAATCACAAGAATAAACCCTGACTTTTGCATCCTGTGATTGGTGTGCAAAGTACTTTAACGTCTGTTTCCCTGCTACAGGCCCTCCACAGACCTGGGAGTTGGGACACCCTCTCCCTGTGACAGATGAGATCTGGGAGCCTGAGTGACTGGCCCAGCGCCACATAACATGACAGAGCCCCTCCCTTCTGATGCACGACAGTGTCCTTGTGGAAAAGTTAATATTGATTCATACAAATAGAAAAGGATTGGATTCAAAGGTTTATTTAACTTACTAATGAATGAACCAGGTGAATGGTAAAACTTGCTCAAGAAAGCATTTAAGAGACGAGATTTATACAAGGCTGTGGGGGCTTCACAGTTTGTGGAAAAAGGGAACTAAATAATGAATTTTTTTTCTATGAACTTTTGAATTATAGCTATATGACTCTATGTTGTTGTTAAGTACTGTCGAGTCAATTCTAACTCATAAAGACTTTGTATAAGGTATCTAAAGCTGTAAATCTTTGTGGGAGCAAAAAACCTCATCTTTCTCCTGCAATAACTTGTATAGTTAGTTGAAAAAGTGCTGAAGAAAGTTTGCTAAGTTAGAGACAACTAGTTAATGCCTTTGTTGTTGTTAAATGTCATCGAGTCGGTTCCAACTCATAATGATTTTGTACAGAGTTTCCAAGGAGCAGCTGGTGAGTCTGAACCACCAACTTTGTGGTTCAAACTGACCTTGACATCAAGTGCTTATCCTATGGCTCTACACCAGGACTCTGGTTAATGCCTTCGTTGTTGTTAGGTGCCATAGAGTCAGTACTGACTCATAGCGACCCTATGCACAATAGAATGAAACACTGCTCGATCCTGAGCCAACCTCACAATTGTTGCCACGCTTGAGCCCATTGATGCTTCCACTTTGCCAATCCATCTCGCTGGAGGTCTTCCTCTTTTTCTCTGACGCTCCGCCTTAACCAAACATGATATCCTTCTCTGGCGACTGGTTCCTCCTAACAATATGTCCGAATTATGAGAGATGAAGTTTGGCCATCCTGGCCTCCAAGGAGCACTCTGGCTGCACTTCTTCCAACACAGATCTGTTGGTTCTTTTGGCAGCCCATGGCACTTTCAATATTCTCACAGGGTAATAAATGTAACTTTCAGGACTACTGTCTGTACTAGACAAAAGTACTATGCATCTTTGCCAGACACAAATCTACATATTAGCATGTAACTTCACAAAATCTGGGCCTTATCAACTGTAAACTGTAAATCAAAGGTACATTTCCCTAGAGATTTAAAATCACTCTTAGCGGAGCCATTAAACATGCTTCAGAATGACGTTGAAAGGACCTGTAGGCCTCTTTACTTTCGTCCAAAATTATACATTTTTCATAGAATAGAGCACAGTCCTCCTTTCTCACACCTTCCAACCTGAACACCCTGAGATTTGGAACCTCCAGATCCATCAGGTTGTGAGTCTTATTGAACCCACAGAACTCAGCATTTGGCCGCGTTTGGATCTGGCTGGGCTCAAGCAGGGCCTGCTGACTCTTGGTTTGGCTGTTCCTTGATCCAGAGCAGCCCTAAGAGGGCTTTCAAGCATAACAATAGCATAATGTTCACAGAGAGCTCGCTCACAGATTGTGTTATTTGAGTGTTATAAGATTTTTTTTTTAAATTTGTATTAAAACTTGAGGAAAAGTTTACAGGGCAGATCTTCAGTTTTACAATCAACAAATCATATTTTGTTTCATTGCAATGAATACAATGCCCTCTGTGTACCATCAGTTAACAGTATTTACCTCTATTCCCAACCCCCCCTTTTTTTTAATGTACCTATACCATACACAAAATATATATATTTGTTTAAATGTCCAAAGGGCACATTTTGCAAGCCAGCCTCCTGCCCACAGGCCCACTGCCTTTCTCAGGCCCTGGGCCTTTATTCCTCAACTGCTCTGTCTCTCCAGGCCATTGCCTTTGCCACCATCTCTGCCACCACCGCTTTTCTAGTTAGGATTCCATGCTCCACTCATGCTCTTCCCTCTTGATGGTCTTGGGGTCCTCTGTTCCTAAAATAAAGATTAACTACTCCCCCCTTTTAGTTACACCTCGTCTACATTTACAATTGTGACAATTGTCATTAGTTCTGGTAACAGCTGCTCACAATTTAATCATAAATGCCTATTCCCCCATCCTCTCCCAACCCCTTTGACCAGACCCATCTGGGCAAGAGGAAAACTGTTCAGTGGGGATTCTACTTTACCCACCTTGCTCTGAAACTAAGCACACTTACGAAAGTTTGTAAGCCAGCTACTTTCTGCCCTTATAACCCCTCATTTATTTTTATTGTGAACTGAGTGATAGTTTACACGGGAGAATATCAGCTTTATACCATTGTTTCATAG